TGGGACGGCAAAATGTCTTTAGTGACGAAAATGTGTGTGCCTACAAGGTTAGAGCTAATCCTGCCCATGAAGTAATGCCTGTTGTACCTCTGGATGATGTACCTTGGGATTTCGGTGCCTAAATTCCACCTAAGTTTTACTTTTTGGGTATGACGTCTAGCAGCTCCACATTTAAGCACATATTGCAAAGGAAACAGAGATGTGACCACTTAGGGCAAAAAAACTGTGCCTCTCTAACAAATTGACATGAAGTCAATCTTGCAGCTGCTGAGAGTAGAGGGAATGGTTGCTATAATTTACTTGAATTTTAAAAAGAAAAAAATATTCCTTATAAAAATATCCTTAGCAAGAAGCCATTAAAGCAAACCAGTAAGGATGTGAGGGCTGAAGTAATTGTGCATTGGAAACTGAGAGGTAGAGCAGGATTAAATGGCCAATTCTTTTATCATGGCAAAAGGCTAATGGTATAGTGCCCCACCACTCTGTCTTCAGACTGGTACTCTGTGAAAAAGAGGATAAACACGCTCTCTGAAAGGTGGCACTGTTTGCTGTTAACAGAGAATTATTTTAGTTAATCAGAACTAGGGAAGATTGTGAATGACCTGGGTTAACAAAGTGAGTAAATGGCCAATGTGATGCAGATGAAATGCAATGCTGACAAACACAAGGTTTGGCACATATTCAGAAGAGTAATTGGAAGTATTTGTAGGCTTTTCAGGGTTCTAAATTAACCATTAACTATTTAGGTCATTACTTGCTATGATCAGTTTAGTGGGAAAAAAAAAATGTGTTGTAAAGGGATTCTATGACAACAAAAAATGATGTGAGACCATGAGGGGGAAAAAAAACCAAAACAAAACCACAGACAAAACCCCAGAACAACAGAATAGAAAATTCAATTCCATACATAAATCAACAGTAACAATTCACCCATAATTAAATTCTTGCCCTATCTCTTAAAGCATACTGAGAAAGTAATTCTGTGGACTGGCAACTGGCTGAAAACAAGGATTTGTTTAAAAAGGAGTCAAGTAATAGGAGGTGGAGAGGAAGTATTTAAAACAAGGTGTAGTATAAAGAATATAAGCTAAGAAGTTTCTGTTTATCTTGCTAATGCAAAAAAACCCCAGTGAAGTAGTATATTTAAAGTGAATGAAAATGAATTATTTTCATGAACATCTCGTTAACCTTTGAGACTCATTCTCTTCAGCAATCATGAAGGACAAAAATTCGGCAGCATTATGCTGTTATACAGCAATTCTTGTGCTACAAGAGGGCTGGAATAGTTATTCCATATAGCTATTCAGTGCTGCTTATTCAGAGGTTCTGCTTCCCCATTAGCAAATCCTGTACAGATACTAACCTGCTGCTTCCTATTTGTGAATCAGACCTTTTAACGTGCACAGATGTTTTTGTGCTCAGCTTTGCTGTCTGAACTTTAAAGGGGTTGGCAGTCTACACTGTGCTAGAAGGGGTCCTGCTCCAACACACAGAAGGAGGTGCGCACCCAAGGAAGAAATGGTTAAGAGTTACATAAACTTAGCTGCAGACGACTTTTCTTGACAAAACAACCTATTTTGAATGTTATTTCTGCAACTGTGACTTCCCCCGTCTGGGATCCTGGACTGATGACTTCAGCAGCTGGTGCATTATGTGGAATGGTCCTTTAAAATCTCCTTGCTGCTGCGATGAGGCTTGTGTGATTTTTCGGGAGCATTTATAAGCGCTCAGGCTGCACCACGGCGTGATCCATTTCACATGCCAGGAACTTTGATGGGGAGCAGTTGAGATTCATGGTGACATAATACAGTAAGAAGAGATATTAATGCTCTTAGGCATGAATTAATGAAATACCATTGAGAATATATCCTCCATGAATAAAAGGATTTGGAAATTGTCGTTCTGAAAACCACAATGAGGATTTTATTGGAAAAAAAACCCCACCCAACCCCAAACACTCTGTCTGTCCTAATGAACCTTTAGATTTTTGTTGGAGCTTGATGATTGAGCTGGATCTGTTAATTGAATTCCTATTAATTTACAAATTGTTTATATAAAGGAAAGGCACAGCTCTCTTGCTTCCAGGGCTGTGGTGCTGCTAAATTATATCCCCACCTGAGTGCAAAGCTGGATTCCAACTCGTGGAGTAGAGAGGAAGTAAGCTACCCGTATCTATAAATCTGGGGTTCTTAGTGTAGCCACAGAGCAAGACCCTTCCTTCCTGACGTGGTAGCAATTCCCTTCATAAATGTGGAAGGTGACTGTCACCATCTATTTAGAAAAAAAGAAAAAAAGAAATCTAAGGTTTGCTTTAGTGTGACCTCCCTGGCATACGTGTCTTTGCAGGGCTTCAGCTGCGGGTGAAACTGAGGAGCTGCTGCTGGGTCCCATCACTTTTCATTCGCCATTGTCCCACCGAATTAGTGAGTTAACCCCCAGTGAAGATGTCATGTATAGATATACACATAGATAATGCTCTACCTGTAGCTTCTCTTGATTTAAAAAATAATTTTATTCAGGGATAAAACTTTACACTACCATATGTTGTCATGTAATCAAATCTAGAAGACACGTTTTGTTAGTTTCGAGGCAAAGTGGGATAACAACAGTACACAGGGACTGTTTACTTATTTTGTTATTTTGTGAATGTCTGTTCTAGAGAAGTTCAGGAAAAAAAATCTTTAAAAATTAGGACATAAAATATGACACATATTTTATCCATAACTTATGTCACTTTGAAACACCTTTTATTGCCTACATAAGTGAATATATGTAAACTTTATTAGTAATTTCAAATTTAAAAGAAGCAAATGTGTATTGTAGAATTCACAGGTAGAAGTTAATTTTAACTATAAAGGTATTACCAGTGTTGCATTTCTTCATGTTATGGTTCACTTATGTAGAGTTGAGATGTATTTTATATTAAACAATGCATAGCACCATTATACAACAGTTCACTAAATGCACATCCCATTTAATCTTTTGTAGGAATTAGTATAACTGGACTGAAGTTACAAGGAAGAATTGTACTGAGCCAGTAGGGTTAACACTGATACTAACAGGAGATTACCAGCCATGAGAAAATTACAGCTCTTCTGAAAGACAGTGCCTAAAATAGCAGCACATCCTCGGCACTATCATAGGAAGTGGTTAACTGATGACCCTGAAGAAACACTTGTTTCCATTAATTCTGCTGTCATTATTTCGCTATTCTTGAACTCTTCCTCTAAAATCTTCTGTCCTCCTGATCCCAGGACAAGATGGCAGGAACGTGAGAAGAGAACATAAAGAGATTACAATAAGTTGCCGGCTATATCATTATACTGTAACCTACTACACTGAGAAGTTACACCAACAGAAATTTGGCAAGGTATCGGCTGCTAGCTGCTAGCTAAACACAGGACACTCACTAGCATAACATTAAAAAAAACCCAAAACCAAACAGAAAAAAACCCAGGCTCACTAAAAAGCAACATCTACATTACAAAGAAGCTAAGGAAAGAATTCCCCCTTACGATACTTAGGTTCAGCTGGTTCATCTTAGGTTCATCAGCTACATTTTCCTTCTTTTATGAATACTTTGTTACATTTGCAATGGAATATATATTGAAGATCACATTGCTACAAACCTTTTCCCAGCACGTAGTTTTGCCACCTTTAGTTAGACACAAAGGAGTACTTGCTCGAACTGGGGTTGAAGATTCTGCTGAAAGTTGGTGACGTTATTAGGTCATGTGTACTGTAATTACTTGAGCACCACCATTTTGAAATCCTTAAGACATGATTTCCTAGGCAGAAAGCAAATTTGCTTTTAAGTTGCCAGAGAAAGGGAATTATTTTTGCTCCAAAGAGTCTGCTGTATATCCTGAATCAGAACAAATTCTTATTTCATAGAGATTTTTTAAAGCATCTCTGCTAAACAGAAGTAAAATGTTCCAGTGACTCTACTGCAAACACAGTAACTTTTAAGTGTTAAGGAACATACTGGCAGGAGTTACCAGTAAGGTCAATGGTGAAAATACCTTTTTCTTCAAGAACAACTGGTACAGTGTCAGTTTTTTTACAGATATATTGAGGTTACCTGATAACCAGGGTTCCATCTCAACCTGGATTTTACTTTTCCTAGAGTTTGAATTGTCTCAAGAGCAGGAAGCCTTGCCCAAAAATATTCTTTTGAAATGGAGGCTTTTTCAAAGTGCAGCGATTTATTTTCCAGATAGACTTAAGGCCACTGCATTAGAAGGTAACAGAATTGACAGAGCTTTCAAATGACTTTTTGCTGCTACCGTACATATAGTCACAGTGGCCACACACGAACCCCTGGCCCCTGTGATGACTGGGCATTACTCACTTGGAAGAACACAATTTTGGAAGTGGTGACAAATGAAGCCTTTGGCGTTCTTGTTGAGGCCCTGGTTAAGAGGGACAGGAGAGGTTTGGGAATCAACAGAGCAAAGGACTTCAGCCTTCCAATCTTGCCACTGATTTGTAGGTAACACCTTGGGCATCAGCTGCCTTCTGCAGTTCTCTGGTCTGACGAGAACAGCGACAGTCACGCTTATTTATCTAGCGCAGAACAGTGCCCTGACAGATTCACTATTTGGATAGTACTCAGAGCGCCATCCAAATGCTGCTTATTCATGTTTTCCCCACTGCAACATCATCACTAATAATTAACTGCTAATTACTGTTGCCAAGAATACAATAGTGGTGTTTACCACCTCATTATTATACAGACGCCTACTTAAAAGTCACGTAAATATATGAAATTACAGCACATTTTCCTAATGACCCTTCTATGTCTGAGTTTGATCCTATTCCGCTGTGACTAGAGTAACGAATAGCAAAGATGACCTCTCCTGTAGAGCTGTACGGACACTTTCTATTGTATTCTCGACACTTAAGTCATGAAACGTAAGGAAGCTGGATACAGGTGGGTCAAAGGACTGCTGATGCCAATTATGCTTCGTACATAAGAATGCACATTTTACCTATTTGGAAAAAAAATTCACATTTATTTACTGTCAAACAGGTGTTAAACTTTACACTGGATATTAGTGATGGGCTCATTATTAACAGGTTTACACAAAGGGATGAAAAAAGCAGAATTTTGTTGACACAATTTACATTTCATTAGATTTTTTTCATAAAATAAATTAATTACTAAATATAGGCAGAAGGAATATGGAAGAGTAATAGTTATGTTTTATTTATATTTTTTAAAGGACAGGCACCTTTTATTCACGAGAAAGCTTGTGAGAAGTGACCAGTGTCCCCTTTACCCCTTACCGCCCAACCCTGATTAAAGAATGAACAGGGAACTGAGTTACAATCTTCGTTAGCCATACCGAATTTGTGCAAGGCTTGGCATAATTGGCTTCTAAAACAATTTTCTCCCCAAATTATGGTTTTGGCAGTAAAAATTCAAAATGTAAGAATTGAAAACTAACTTGTCAAAGCAGAACACTGTTTACAGTGAAAAATAAGTGAAGATGGGTAGAACTTGCCTTTTAAACATACTACTGTACTATGGACAGAGTGTAAGAAAAACAGCTTATAACATATGTGCAACCAAGAGCTTTTCACAATATTTTCTTCAAACTCTTTAAAATTACTTTTAATGACAATTATATTTCAGTTGGACACAAATGTATTTATTTTACCCTAGCAATAGAACAAAATATAATTTCTTTAGCCATTTTTTTCATGAGAACGGTTCATTGTACAGTTGAGGAAATATATGAAATAAGGCCTGTGGCTTGATTGCTAGTGGTTAGACATGTATTTATTCTTTGCCCTAATGGAAAAGATTTGCAGTGAACTGCAAACTGATGCAGAATATCTCTCCTGCTTTTGCAAGTCTTGTCAGGAATAGTAAGGTACAGTAAATTTGTCCCACAGGATTTTCGAGCCTACGCCTTGTATATAATACAATGTAGGCCTAGAAAAAAAAATGGTGCAGCCATATTTACAAATTTAGTTCACAAACTGCTGCAGTAAAATGGCTGGAAAGTTTTTATTTCTCTTTTTTTTTTTCACAATTTTGTTAAATTCAGCAGCAGAAGATATCTTAAAAATACCTTGTTGGTATTTCTTTTCTTTGTAACAAATAATTCATTTTAGTATACTCTGTGTATATACAAAGTTTTTGTTTTATAAAAATTCACAGAACTGCGAGGTCCAGTCATCCCCGTTACTGGAGAACCACAGGGTCAACAGAATCGTCTCTTCAAGCAGGTATGAGGGGCCAATTAAGTCTCTTTAATACTTGTATGTGGCCTTTAATATTTCTTTGCTACACTATTAAAGGCTTGTCACTAGTTGCATTTGTCCTTCTCTAACATCTCCTTCTGGAATACATCCTTCCTTGTTAATGGGAATTATATAGCCGTCGCTATTACCCCTGCTGATTTGATAGTACATCTGAAGCTGATGGCCAGCTCCTAGGTTTGGCATGCTCTTGTAGTAAATGTCCTCATTTTCGCTCCTCCTGGAGGGAGAGAGGTCTTCCTCAACGTCGGGGCTGCTCTCTGGGTACGGAGAGTCTCTGAGATTGGGCATGCTCGTGTAAAGAGAGTCTCTGTTGGGGGACTGGAGGTGGTCGTCAGCCTCGGCCGTCAGCTGCGAGACGTAGCTGTCGGTTCCCTCGGTCTTCACTTTCTTCTGGGGCTGGTACAGAAGGGAGTGAGTCCGCTGAGGAATGAGCGGGGCCTCGAGCTCTTTGTGGTGGAGCTCCAGCCCCGGGGTGTCGCTGTGCATCAAAGATGAGGCATCTGCCACGATGGCGTCATCTTCGCTACTGCTCCCGCCGATCACAGCTTTGGCCGGGAGCGTGCGCTCCAGGTTGTGGTTCTTGCTGCTGCCCCGCAGGTTGTTGTGCACTAATTCTGAAATGATCATTTTCTCAAAAGCGGTATCATTCAGGCTTAGTCCACAGTCTACAACTTGCACACTGTCGTTATAGTCTCCATTGCGCAACGAGTAGCTGTTGTTGAAATTACCATTTAGCGGTAGAGTATCCATGGCACTTGTATCCCTGGCATTGTTCAGTGAATGTCCTGAAATGGAAAAGGACAGCTCCGGTTACGGCCCTGCTTTTTATCACTTAATTCTTTTTTTTTAAACAAAGTTCTTTAATGTAGTTCAGGACAAAGTTGTACTCGGCAGTAAGACTTGACAAAAGTTAGGTTACTGAACATTCCCAAATGTAAACAGTTGCACGCTTTATAGGAAAGATGAATTTTAAAAATAGTAACGTGTATTTCCTGCGGGTGATAGTGGCATTTTAATTTCTTAATTTAGTGTCAATTCTGTGACTCTTCCATAAGGAACTGTTCACTCCATGCCCTTGCATATGTAATGCAAAGCAATTCATTTGGAAATATCTATGTTTTGAAGCACACCACCATGATTTAGAAAAAGAAAATTAACAGAATTTGTCCTAAACAACACTAAATTAAAAAGGAATTAGATCACAGACATAACTGAAGGTAAATGTACAACATAAACCCACATAACTGGCAAGCAACTACTTTAACGACACTTCTAACATTTTTCCTTTTTTTTTTTTTTTGTGATGAAGTAAAGAAAAGAATGAAAAAAATGGATAAATACAAAGAATTTATGTTAAACAAGGACAGCCATCTTTCACACTACAGGGACCAGGGCCCACAAGCACCATCCAACAACACGAAAGACAGCAGGTGGAATGACTCACTTTGGACAACTCACATCATGTCTGTCTGCTCAGGCTATCTGGCCTAAGAGTAGCTGATATATAAAAGAAAGTAAAATGATTTATTGTAACATGATGAAGAATTACTGAGCTTCTCAGCAACTTAGTCAGAGCAAGGGTTCAGCAAATTAGATTACTAAGCAATAACAGCTTCTTTTCCCACTTAATGTAATTTTTTTGCACTAATATTCTGTCTGCCAACAACGGCCCCAGCCTTCTAAAGGTCAAAGTTTGCCTGCAGTCTGCATCAGTCACAGTGACAGCGCTGAATGAACCAGAATAGTTAATTAAGAGTTAGGCCCATGGTTACCATGGGCATGGAAGTCAAATGCAGAAATGTTAGGAATTTCTGTAGGTATGGGTCACAGAAATTAAACCAAAGAATAAATATTAGTTGTGGAATGGGAAGAGGAAATCAGCCATGGCTGATATCTCATAGCTGCTGGAGGAATGACAGATTGGGTAAGTCTGCTGGAAACATGAAAAGAAGTTTAAGGGGAGGGGGGGAATGAAGTCTTATGATGATTAAGGTCTTTATGCTTTTGGTTCTTTTTAAGGGGGTGTGGGCCGAAACACGATAAAGAAAAGGTTTTCCTATAGACACAAAGACATGTAAACTATGACAGCACAGTGCTTCCCAAGCAAAAGAAAAAGAAAAAAGAAAAACTGAAAGAAATCAAACAGTCTGGACCATGGAAAGTCAGATGGTTAGAGCATTCCTAGAAAATCACTTTATCTACAGATACGTCTAAAATTAAAGAAAGAATGGAGTGACTTTACTGAAATGAGACTGACCACTGTGAGGCTGCTGCATTATATGCAAGGCTTGGAGGAGTATAAGAAAAAGGTTGTTTCAGAAAAGATTATACATTTTCCAGTTTTGGGTTTTTTTCATAATTAAAGCTGCAGCTTATCGTAGAAAATTCAATCTTCTCTGGAAATATTGTTTTCAATTAAAAAGTAATTGCATTTTCTCATGAAAAGATTCTTGTCTTCAACTTTAAAAAATAGAGTAATAATTTCCACATAAATTCTGAGTAATTTGCAAATCATTTTGTATTTGTGTTATTGTTAACTCGTCTCCATGTGTACTGATTTAAGCAATGATAAGGGTTGTCTGAAAGGTCTCTTTAAGCTTTGATTAAACAACTTCATAGTTTTGCAATTTCATATATGTTCCAAGATTTTTCTTGCAATGGATTTAGCTGCGCAGAACATATGGCATTTATAAAAGTAGACACCACATGGACCACATGCTGGCATTCATTTCCCTCATGAAAGTGATTTAATTCTATAATTTTAATTTTCTTTTCTTCTGCTAAACAGATACCAAAATATATCTGATAATCTAAAATGAGTTTTCTATGATATACTGCATAGTCAAACACGCTGGAATATATTCGAATTGGTTTGATGAAGCAAATTTTGTTGCCCATGATCAGGTAATTCATTTGAAATCTTTCCATCGCCTGTAGCAAGATTACTGTGGGAATGTAAAAATATAAGTAAATTATTAAGCATTTCTGCTTGACACTGCTTTGGTTTTAAACAGCAAATTATTTCAGCATTGCATAACTTCTGTTACCAATAGGGTTTGCTACAGACCTCATGTTGTTTCCCAAAAAGCAGTATGCAAGTACTTTTTGAATGTGGAAACATTTCATTCGCAAATTGTGAACCACTTGCCCGCTGAGTCTACTTCATGACCGCTAGTTATGTTTTAATTGTGCCCATTAAAAATCATGCTGAAAAAATTTACATTTGATAGGCAAAGTTAAGTTTTACTCCCATACTTGTCTCTCTGTAGGTTGCTAGAGGAAAGCATAAGGAAAGTAAGAAAACAAGAGAATGAAAATAGAAACTACAGTTCAGTTAAAAAGGAAACTTGAAATAAAAACTGAAAACAAGGTTTTATGAGCTCTTTATCAAAGATTTATCATTCCAGTTATATTAAAGTGATCTTATGACTCATCAAACAGCAACTGCTAGGTATTTACTGATGAACTGTACCGTAGTTAACGAAAGCAACTAGACAATGTAACAACAGAATGTTAGGTAGCGATGACACCCTTTATTCCTACAGAACTAAACTGTTCTAACTGTTAATCTCAAGATTTTCCTACAGGAAAATGATCTACCATAAAGCTGCACTATACTATAGTTTAGATCTGTTTGACGCTGGATACAGTTTTCTACACGGGGGTATCCAAAGGTGTCAAGATTATATTGCAACCTTATATTGCATAGACATGATACCTCTAAGTGATAAATATCTTGAAGATGGGCTCTCAGATCATGTGGTGTCAGTCCTGTAATAGTATATTAAGATTTATGCCACCTGTGTTAAAAACATGGATAATTATTGGTAAATACTGTTATGGCAAAGGCATTACTATAATATAGTGCAGTTTTACAAGCTGACATTGGCAATACTGTGTTTCTCGAACTGACAGAAATTCAGACTGTACGCCTAGGGTATTGCAACTTGAGTCTCTATCTAGGGAAAAGGAGGGATTTGAGGCAAGCCAAGAAAAGTGGTTTTATCCAGGAAGTAGAAGCACACCTGGTGAGTTAAACACAGGAGCTGAAGGGGCATTACATACAACTGTTTCAGCGAGCAATGTGTTATAGGGGTTGTTAGTGCCGTGTGGTCGAAGAAGAGGGTTTGTTAGTAGGTAATTGCCAGTCATTCCTAAAGCAAAAAAGAAACAGAAAAAAATGTCAGTTCTTTAATTTTAGGCTGACAGTTTCAATAAAGAATATTTTTTATTCATCATGAATCATGTAGGACTTGTCAAATGTAATTCGGCTGAAAATTTCTGAAGGTATTTGAGCTATGTTTTTGAAATGGGAGCAGGAAAATACAGTTAGATTCCCGTAATTCACAGGTGCTGTCCAAATCCCTCAGGTAAACATCTGGTTAGAGTGACATTTACTAATGTATACAAAATCACTGTTACACAAGAATAGCAATTAAATGTGTGGAGATCAAGGTACTACATAAAGTTATTACAACTTTAGATATGATCGTATGGAACACTTCTGTCCAGAATTGAGAGAACTGAATTTCTCGAATCAAAAGCTCTTGAAAAATCTCTGATGACAGGATCAGAGCTGTTACTCGCTTTATTAAAAACACATGGATAGTGGAAGGGAATTGCTGTTTTCAAACAGAGAGCGGATGACAAACTGCAAGAAGCATATCTTAGTATATGCAAAAGTATGCATGCTGAGGGGAAAGCAAAATATTTGCTCTAAGAAATCAGAGCATTCACATTTTCTCCCGGGACACTCATGCTGCAAATTTATCTGCCAAGTTTTAAAAGAGAATTCCTTGAATGACAAATTTTCTTTAAACAATCAATTTACAAACAATGAAGATGAAGCAAAATACTACATGAGCAGATTTTTTTTAAAACCCATTTTACATGTTAATGCAACACCATTTAAACAACTCTTGGAATAATAAAGAAAAAAATCACCATGTTTGAGAAATTATTAAGAAGTCAATTAATCTTTGATTTCCAGCAATTCGAAGAAAATTCCAAGATTCAGAGAATTATTGCCTGATTACACTTATTTGAAAGTTTGTACCAGTGAACAACTAAAAAGGTTTTATCATAGTTTTTTTTACCAGAAATACTAACTAAAATATATTTTTGCTTAAGGTTTTTTGTATACTATGTTTAATCTTGGTTAGAATTATTACATGTAATTTATAGTTAAGAGAATTTTTTTTCAGTCCAAACATTTTTGCCTACTTTAAAGGCTTGATTTTTATTTTAAAGGAAAAAGTCACTTGCCATTAACTACTAAACTACCCTTATACGCTTATATCACTGAGATAGTGACAATATTATAATTGGATAAAGATGATATAATTTTTTCTGATCACGGCAAAACATCTCCAGTGACTTAAGACTGAAGACCTGAAAGAGAGAAGCTTCCAAGACCTCTGTTCAGCTCTGAGTTAACTGAGGTGCAGCATGGTTAGAGCAAACCTCAGGAGTGAGAGACATGAGGGGCTCACTGTTGGGGCCAGTTCTGTTTAACACCTTTTTCAGTCATCTGGGTGAGGGGATCAAGTGCACCCTCAGTAAGTTTGCAGGTCACACCAGGCTGGGCAGGTGTATCGATCTGCCTGAGAGTAGGAAGTCTCCAGACGGACCTGGACAGGCTGGATTGATGGGCCAAGGCCAATGGTACAAGGTTCAAAACGATCAGGTGCTGGGTCCTGCACTTGGGTCACAACTACTCCAGGCAACGCTACAGGCTTGCTTGAGGATGAGTGGCTGGAAAGCCGTCTGGTGGAAAAGGACCAGGGGCTGTTGGTGGACAGTTGGCTGAGGATGAGCCAGCAGTGTGCCCAGGTGGCCAAGAAGCCCAACAACATCCTGGCCTGTATCAGGAACGGTGTGGCCAGCAAGACCAGGGGAGTGATCATGCCCCTGTGCTCAGCACTGGCGAGGCCGCACCTCGAATCCTGTGTTGGGTTTTGGGCCCTTCATGGCAAGAAGGACATGGAGGTGCTGAAGCGTGTCAAATGAAGAGCAGCAAAGCTGGTGAAGGGTCCAGAGAACAAGCCTTATGAGGAGCAGCTGAGGGAGCTGGGGTTGTTTAGCCTGGGGAAAAGGAGGCTGAGGGGAGGCCTTATTGCTCTCTACAACTACCTGAAAGGAGTTCATAGCGAGGTGGGTGTTGGTCTCTTTTCCCAAGTAACAAGAGACAGGACAAAAGGAAACAGCCTCAAGTTGCACCAGAGGAGGTTTAGATTGGACACTAGGAAAAATTTCTCCACCAAAAGAGTTGTTAAGCACTGGAACAGGCTGCCCAGGGGAAGGGGTTGAACCACCACCCCTGGCGGTATTTACAGGATGTGCAGATGTGGTGCTCAGCGGCACGGTTTGGTGGTGAGCCCGGCATTGTTAGGTTAACAGCTGGATCCCGTGATCTTAAAGGGCCCTTCCAGGCTAAACGATTCTACAATTCCATGATAAAATCAGGGTGAAATCCCACACTTTTATCTATAGTGTATTTACAGGATTTTAGTAAGACACTGGAAGGGAATGTACTTCTTTCTTGGCCATGAAAAATACAAGTTATTTAATTTTGCCTTTGCCAGAGGATCATAAAAGATTCAGATGGGGAAGCAGTGAGACACACAAGTCTTACCCACTTTCTACATGCCAACTAGCAAAAACAGAATCATGCTTTCTGAAATTTTGAAAAAATACCATATTTTTTACTTCCAAAAATGAATGTGAGTTACCAAATCTTGGGTTAAAAAAAACCCCAAAAACCTAGACAAAAAAACTAAGGGAAGAAAATTTGCTAGTTGTGGCTCATGAGGGCTTTACCACAGCCCTGACAGTGCTGAATTTTCTGTCTGACACTTTCCAAGCAGGAACTGGTAGCAATGAGACCAGGGCTATGTGTTCTCTGGAGATGTGGGTGGAAGAACAGGCTTTGATCTTGGCTTGCACAGAGCAGTCTTCCCTCCACTGCTAGCTCAAACTGCCTTAAAAAACACAGGGGGAAGGGGAGAAAGGAAAGGACATTCTGTCTTGGTTAATACCCTGTCTTCTATCTAGACACGAGAACGAGGTTACAGATTTCAAAGTGTATTTGAGCTGAGAAAATTTGGAGTTTCAGCTTCTCTGTGCCTGAATCTGGATTCTATCCCATGTGACAGATATGATGCTCTTTGAAATAGAAAAGATAAATGCTTTACAGACATCTTTGGCATAGAAATGATATCAATTAGATTTCACTGGGAAAATTTCTGCACCTAAAAATCATAGTCAAATATGCATTAGAATGTTACTGCACTCATATTTCTGTTTCAGATTTAACCTATAAAGGTTAGGAAAGATTTAAAATTACGATCTTGCTTTTAAGTTAAATTATTGATGAAACTTATTTAATATATTCCCACAAATGAAGGAATTCAACTTCTATAGCAGGGGCCAGTTAAGGGAACACGGTTTTAAAATGTGCTAGTGGATGACTTTAAAACTCTCCTTTTAGAGAACATTTGTTCCGGAATTGTTTTTTTCAAAACATACTTTTCAATTCTTCTGTGTTAAATGATATAAAATCTGTATAAAATTTAAGGCTTCTAAAACTGAAATGTTCCCAGTGACTGACCTTGATTAAGTGTTGAAGTGCTGTTGATGTCACCTGAGATAAAAGACGATTCAGATTGTTTTCTCACAGTATCATTCCACATCCTTCTTATACGACTCTGTCAAGGTAAAGCATTGAGACAGAAGCACAACAGGTTACACAAAGATTTTGTCCTACTTATGGGCTATTATGTAGAATATTGGTGTTTATTTTGGCCTGAAGTAAGCCATTCTTCTAGCATTTAGTGAAACTCCCTTCTTCTGTTATTAAAACTCTAATTTATTAAATTTCATTAAGATGACAGTATAAAACCTTCCTATAAACCACTCCCTAATTACAATAAAAATAAGGTGTTTGCATTAGACCAAAGTAAAAGGAAATGTTTAAAAAGAAATCATTTGTACTATGCAGAAGAATGCATTTGCCATCTAAACGATAATAATGAGAAGATAATTAGTGCTTCTGATTGGAACACATCTCAGTAGGCTTTTTATAAATAAGGTTAATTAAAATACACTGTCAAAATCTTTGTTACCTGAGTGCCAGAGGAATAGCGAGCACTAGTTCTTGTTGTTGATGCCTTCACTGAACTGTGGGGACTCTCAGTTGGTAGTCCGCCACAGCAGTAGGAATGTCGGAAGCATTTGCCATACTCCTTACGTACCTACGAGGAGAAAAAATTCCTTAGCACAAACCCCAGAGTTAAATATCTCCACTGGCAGAACTATATGAGCTTTGCATTGAAACTAGTCACACACTTCTCAACAAATAGATAAATCTTGTTGAATTGTTGGCTATTAGCAAAATTGTTCCCTACTTAGCAGCAGCATTACCAGCTACCCAAGATTTTTGAAGAAATTAATTCCAAGACATAAAGGCACTTCATTTAGCTCTGCCTGAATAATCATTGCTGAGTTATTTATTAAGTTTACCTGAAAGAAATGCTGGATGAAAACAGTCCTTTTCATATGAGCTTTCGGTGCAGAAACCATAGGAAGCCTATCTTCCCATACTAGCACGTAAAAGGGCTGAGGTAACTAGCATTTACACTGCGTGGCAGTGCCCGCTACGTTATCGCTTCCAAGAGAGTGTGCAAAACCTGTAAGGACTACCAAGGCACTTGCACACAAAGTCACTCTGTGTAACTCCACCAGTTCTCGTTAATATGGTCACACCTGCCCGATGTGGCATTGCACAAAGCTCAGAAAATGCCACTGCCCCACTCCAGGCAGATCACCAGCTACGCTGCTGGAGGAGGTACTGACAGCATTGCAGAGTCAAATTTTGAACCCTAAAGGCTAGGGAATGAAGCGTATTTTACTTATAGGACAAAAAATAAAATGTTTATTACTGTCTTTGCTGAACATAGAATTTCAATATGCCTATCTATGAGACGTTTGTGTGACAGAGCAACAGAACTAATTAATGATTCCAGTATCTGGCCTGCATTTATTCACTTTCTGTTTCTAGTGACGTACTGAAAACCTTAAGTTTTGTGATTTGCCAGTGTTAATGTTTGTCATGAAAGCCATCAGGATTAATTTACAGAGTGGTTAATTCTCTCATATTTGGTGACTGCTACACTGACTACTAATTTTCATGCATACGCATCCCAGCAGCATGACAGCATCAGTGAAAGGACACCGTGAATAAAATTTGTCCCAACACGTAAATTTTAACTTCTTTAATCTCCCACCAGATACCCTGGAATCTACATCTACAACAATGAGACTCTCAAATTTCCGGGAAAGTGAGGGAAAAACAGCTGCAAAAAGTTAGTAATGTGGATTTACACGTCATGTGGTGTTTTCAATACTACAAGAATTTTAATCATGGAATACATACTGTGATGTTTCTACAAATCACAAGGTTGAAGAAAATTGGAATAGTCAGTGCCTTAACTTCAAGCTAGGGACAAAACCTCATCTTTCTGTGAAGAGTACATGGTAATATTATACATGAATCCCTATCTGTATCAGCACAAAAGACATTAGAAAATGAAACCAGAAATGCATGGAATTATAACCTTTAACTCTGTAGTCCGAAAAACCTAAGTGTGTATATATATCTATATGTATCTATCTCTATCTCTGTATCTCATCACTAGATGATATAACACCTAAGAAAATACATTCCTGAACACTAATGGATATTAAATGCTCCAAAGCACTACATAGTAGAGACAATAGCACTCAAAGCTGTATTTTTACCCAAATACCACCCTCCAGGGCTGGTTTTGCCTAATGCCTATATTGCAGTGAATGTACATTATCTGTCAGTACTGTGCATTCCACTGTCATTATTTCTAAATTATAGCTTGTTGGAAACTGATGGAAGCAACAGCACTATCATCTTGTCAGAACTGGAAACATAATAGTTTTCACTTTCACAATTCTATTTCTCTGTTCAATTTAGTGACCAACTAGTAATAACAGAATAAAAAGACTACATTAGCTATGCAGACAGAAGACAGGATGATATCCAGTCAAAGGCACTGAAACTTAAAAACCTTAAATGGCAGCTTTAATATTCTTTCAGGTATAAATCTTATTGCTCTAGGTTATGCTTTTTCACACCTGACTGGTATTTTAATATTGCTTTTTGCTGACTCCACTTAATATAAAAACAATGCACAGCTGTAAGAAGAAATAAAAAAGGAATCTGTTTTTGATTTTCAAGTCCAACACAAGCGACAGAAAGGGCAACCTTATATGAAACTCTAATCTAGAAATTATTTGCATTTGGAGAATGTTTGCATTTTCTTCTCTCTCCTTTTCTTAGGCTCAGTCTACTCTCTAGGTGTGCTTTTGTTCTCTCAGAATGAGAAGAGTGCCATGTTCATCTGGATAAAATTCTTTCTGTCTACCAGATCTTTTCCTAAATCAAGGTTGGATGCCATTGTCTACACCGAATTTAGAGACACTGATACTGTTAGAACTGGTACAGTTGAGAATATACAAGAATGTGATTTTCGTACTTACACAGCAACGCTTTATCCAATGGTCTCGAGCCATTTTATAAATATCAGTTAATTATGTCTCTGGTGAGCTAATTATAATGGGAGTTAATAATTGCTAGGTCTCCAGCCTAAAACTGGTAAAAATATTTAGAATCTAAATATTGCAGATTGGCTATTTCCAAATGCAGGATGTATTGCATTTTATGTTAAGGTTTTTTAGGCTGGGATTTTTTGACGTTTACGCTTCGTCTCAACTCTCATCCCCTCCATTTGCCATGCTTTCTAATACAGGCTAGGAGCTTTTTTCTTTTGTCTTTCACCTCTGAGAACCTCTACGGCAACCTTGGAAGCAGTCTCCACCCTCAGCCTGGGGAAAAGAAGGGGTGCGGGGAACCCAAAGAGAATCCCACCCAGCTGCACCCTTCACTCCTCCCTCTCCTGCAAGCTTCCTCTCTCTCCAGCAGATCTGCTCCTTCTGGAGCCCTCTGCTCCCAGCAGGGGAAGGGGAGCAAAACTAATTTACTCCATGCCAGTCGTGAGGGAAGCCTCTTGCCAGGACATTCCAGTTTTTGCAGTTCAGCGTGCAAAGCTGTTCAATTGCTGGGGTAGACAAACACTGGAAAACAACCGGCCAGTGAGTACTTTTTTCTAAGGTGTGCCAAAGTTCACAAGAAAACTAATTTTTACATCTCACTTAATTTTGCAATGAACGAGCACTCATAGTACAATCTCTGCCTGTCACCTGTAGCTCTGTGTGGCAGCTCAACGGGATTTCAGCAGAGGTCCTGTGCCTTGGTCGGAGAAACACAGAGGTTTCGGGCTGAGACGGGCTGATGCTGTAAATCATCCTCAGGTTCCAGTGCGGCAGCGGAGGCACGATTTGTTTCACGTGCACAGAAAAGACTTTGGGCTCTATGTCCAGACTAATACACACCACATTACCAATGTTGAACAGGACATTTTCTATACTAATTTTCTTCC